CCCGGTGCTCCTCCTCTTCGCGATGGTGCCGTCGCGGAACTACCACAAACGCCCTGAGGTGGAGGAAGAGGACGACGGGGATGGGCGGGGGGCGGCCCCGACGGAGGCCGACGTGGTTTCACTTTCCGCCGCCTTTCGAGGGCTGCTGCAGAATCCCGATTACGTCCTTTTGCTTGCGGGGCTCTGCGTGTTTTCCTTCGTGGGGTCGGGACTGGCGGTGTGGGGGATCCCGGCCCTCGTGCAGGGGCCGCTGCGGGTGGAGAAGGGGCATGCCGCGGTGCTCATCGGCGGGACCACCGCCCTCTGCGGCGTCAGCGGCGCCTTTCTCGGCGGGAGGATCATCGACCTCCTTGGAGGAAGCCAGGGCGACGTCGGCATCATGAACTGCATGTTTTTTAGCCAGATCATCCTCCTCATCGTGATCCCGTGCGGGCTCATCGCCTTTCTGCAGACCCACCTCTGGCTGTTCCTGATCCTCTTCGTGGTGGTGGTGTTTTCCCTTTTTCTGATTACCGCGCCTGTGAATGCGTGTATTTTGGCCATTGTGCAGCCCTCTATACGGCCCTACGCGATCGCGATCTCGGTCTTTTTCCTCCACATTGTAGGCGATATCTCGTCCCCGACGATTGTTGGGTTTCTTTCCGATCAATTCGGGCACCTGTGCATGCTCCACACGGACGAGAAGACATGTCATGCTAATCAAAGAGAACGTTGCTCATGGCGTCCTGTCTCCACCACCGACCACGTCTGGAGGTGTTGGTATGAAGTTCAACTGCGAAATGCACTTTTGATTACGTTTTCACTGCTGTCGGTGACGCTTTTATGCTGGAACGGCGTTTACAATCGCGCTCGGGCAAGGCTGAAATCCGCGGGGTGGATCTCACCGACGAATGTGGATCCGAGTAGCGAGACGAATTCCAGGAGTGAAGGGGCTAGAATATAAAAATAGCCATACTTCTTAACGATACAAAAAAAATTACCTTATTTTTATTAGGATTACAACTTATATTTACATAATTTTACTCATTTTTGTTGCTTTTCGATTCCTTATGCTTTTTCTATTCTGCGGAACATTTATCAAAATGTAGACACAACGAAAACCTTTGTCCTTTTATGTAGTTTCGCTTCAATATACCCTTTTTGTTTTTCTTTAAATTATTATTCTATAGACTTTAAAATGTATTTTTTCAGTGATAATCTTTCACTCCTTTTTTTCTTATCCCTTTTCAACAAAGTACCACGTTTGTATGCAGGAACTTTCCCTCTTTTTTTTTCGAAGAGTACGCGTAGTAAATATTAAAAAAAAAATGACCGAAGACCCCAACATAGTGTACGTTTTCGTTGAGAACGAGGACAGAAATGTTACGATGGAGGACGTGAGCGACTGGCTCGGCATCATCGACGAGATCGAATCCACCAAATTTCAGTTCGACGCCACTTCGGGGAGCACGTGCTATCAAGTCCGTTTTCGGAAAAGCATATCGGCTCAACAGACTGTGCAATATTTAAGCGGTTCGAAGCTGAAGAATTGCACAATAACCATTAAATCCAAAACCTTTCAGAAGTGCGAGGTTGCGCCCGCGACGGACGATGGCACCAACGGCGATGCCGGCGCGGCGTCCGGGCGGCCAAAAGAGATGAATCGGGCTGCCCCCGTCAGCGCGCGCAATATCAGCGCGATACTCCCGCTCAACGACAGGCTCCCACCGGAGGTTCAAATGGATGCCGTCCTGGCGGACCTACTCCCGGCATTGGCGAAGGAAACGGAGTCCTATCCGGGTGTTGAGGCGTTCATGCAGGAGCTCCTTGCGGCGCAGACAAAGCTGGCCGGACTGCTCGCGGACATCGCCGAAGTGGACGAGCAAATCCAACGTCGCAACGAGGCTCTTGAAGAAGTCCTAGCCGCTCAGAAGCACGCACCTCAGACGGAAGCCAATACATTCAATGGAAAAGAAACCGCAAATGGAGACTCAAATTTACCATCTAAACCAACCATTTTCAGCAATTCTACTGGCATAGCAGCGTTTGAATGCTCGCCGCTGGATCTCGTTTCGTTTCTGACAAAAAGGTTCGGCCCCATTTCGCAGTGTGAGTGTTTGATCAATCCACAGACCGAGTTATATTTCGTGTCCATTCAATTTATGATGCCAAGTGATGGCGACGCGTTTAGACAACGCATCGATTCTAAGACGGACGGGGATTTGGAGCAGCGGAAGAAATCACGTGTGGAGGTTAGTTTGAGCGAGCAGATGGTGTTCAAACAGCAGTGGAACGTCTTGTAGTGTGTTATTTTGTTCCAGAGATATAATTTTGTGTGAATGTGCGTGAACGTGAACCCTCGTGGTATTCATTTCACTTGCACTCATAGACTCAAATATTCTCTTCTTCTAAGAAAAAAAAACAGTGTGTAAAACAGGGCTTAGAAAAGTATAAATTCCCCCTCCCCACATACACACACACAAAAAAATCTGTACCTTTTACGTCCACCCCTCATCTTCTTTCCAGAATTTAGGAACTCCATACAAGTATCTTCCATTTCCGACCCCACCCCCGTTCTCATCCCCCCACCCTCCGCGTTTTCCCGATGTCGGCGCACCCCCAGGCCACCGCCGAGGCACCGATCAACATCGCCTTCATCAAGTACTGGGGCAAGC